CTACAACCATTTTACTGTGGGTTGAAATTAACTATTATAACGCTCCCCAGTGGCACAGCGGTATGTCTGCGGACTTATAATCCTAGAATTCGGATTTCGATACCCGCGATGAGCAGAGCACAGATAGTCCATTGTGTAGCTTTGTGCTTAATTACAAACAAACAAACTATTATAAAAAAAACAAATAAGCGACTTCAGAATAAAACAAGCCCTCAAACTGTCAGAAAATTAAAGAGACTTTTTAACAACAAGCCCAATTACGCTTATTACAAGCGAACTTAGCAACACTGTTCGACAGGCTGCAAGTATTGTTTATATTTCTTCGTTCTCTTCTCGAGGATCGAGTCGCAAAACAAAGAAGCGCCGAACTTTATCATTTCAACAATAGTTAAAACACAACTAAAAATAACCTATCTCTGCTAGTGTTTTATAATTATGAAAACCAAAAATATAACTAAAAAATATATATAAAACAACAAACTAACGGAATAGAAACTAAATTTGAAAAATGTTTAAAACCTAGTGACATTGAAATCTATGGTTTTTGTTCGGAAGATATTTTTTAAATATTGTAATACACTGTTACTATCACACTATTCAGCTGATCAATACTATGCTGTAGGTGTGTGCTACAAGGGTGTAAATAATAATAACAACCCAAAGCAATCTGGATGTAACAGACCACAAAGAGAGGTATATACAGTATGGATTTACTTTTGCTTCACCAACGGTGTGTTCATTTAAAAGAATAGGATTGTTTATCTATTTATTTCTTTTCTCCTTTCACATCCAGTATTTATACAGCCTAAAGGGAAATGTAACTTGAGTCGAATCTATGTAAATTGTTGCACATACACAATAAATTGACACAAATGCCCAATATTACATTCCGTTTTATGCTCAGAAAATAGTGGGTTCGCTGTCACAACATCCCAGAACGAGGCGACACCGATATTCTTTGATCCATTCTCACATGTGTGTGTGTGTGTGTAATCAGATTCTACCGTAGTTTGCTCTAAAAAGTATTTTTATTTATTGTCAAAAAGTGCCAGAAGGGCGTTCCGGTGCGTCTTCTCTTTCTACTTTTTGTTGTTGTTGTTCCATCTTTTCACTATTTAACTATGAAAACGTGTTCAAAACACGAGAGTAATTCGTTCTGAAGTTGTATGAAGATTTATGTAAGAGTTGTCTCTTTCATTTAACTTGTAGAAAAAAAAGTTTAAAAAGGATAAATATCTTTATAATTACGTTTTCAATTTACATTTAATTTGAGTGTAACGGTGTGATGGCCAAATAAAGTTTCATGTAAGAAAGTTTTATAACCCCTTTTGAACTTCTCGGTATTTATGTTGTGTGCAGCTGCTGAGAAAACTTTTGTTACTGAAAATATTTCACATCTGTCTAGGTTAGGACCCAAATGTTTTAGTTGAATGACAGTTTATACCTGCAATTCATCAAGCATCAAGCATGGTGGTTACAATTAATTTTCTATGGAACTCAATGTCTCGCGTCAGTGGCTCATGCAGTTGATGAAAGATAGTTGAAATGATCCGATTTTCATCACACTAGCTTTCGGATTTCTTCGTCTTCGGACTTACAACGCTAGAAACCGGGTTTCGATACCCGTGGTGGGCAGAGCACAGATAGCCCATTGTGTAGCTTTGTGCTTAATTATAAACAAACAAACAAACAAATCGGATTTCTTCAGTTTTGTGTTTAAACTTCCTGCAGTTTAAAGTAATAATTTATGAAGAAATTTTGACTTTTCTTTGAAATAGTAGGTATTAATTTATTCAATGTCAATCACTGAATTTGAGCTTAGGCTCAAATACCTTTTCTCAGCATTCAACTTATACTCACCTATAAGAAACAAAACGCAGCCATCCAACTACTTTTATTAGCTAACTTAGTGATGAGAAATTTATTATGAGTTTTCAGAGCTTGCAGAGATGACACATTATTGTAAACAAGAAGACTTAGTCCAGTAAACTTCAGAAAATAAATCTGCTGGTACATGTTATTTCGTAACATTATTTTAATGTGGAATAACAAAACGGTTAAAAGTAGTACTTACTTTAAACGCTACAAGGATGCAGTCGTTAATTTTTAACAGGAAGTTTACGTGAGAAACAAGGAGACAAAGTCAGAATTCGCATAATAAAACTCAGATCGGATTTTGTTAACCTCACGAAAAACACAAGAATTTTGTACACAGCTTCAAGCAACTTAATAAAACTGGAATTTCTGTTCACTATTATACTTGTAATTTCATCTGTTAAATTACATTGATATTGTATTTAAAGTTTCTGTCTCAGAAGAAAATCTTATAAAAACAAAAAATTATAATAATTTGCAGTTGAACTGAACATTGATTCATGTTGAAAAATGCTGCTTATTCATTGGGTGCAGGCATAGATTTTGACTCCGGCCAAACAAGAAAGAAAAGAAAAAAATATCTATCTGATTTCTCCTGAAAATATTGGGTCGGGCGGGTGATATATATCCATATTTTAACACAAGGTTTGCTTTGGTTTGAATTTTGCGCAAAGGTACACGAGGGCTATCTGGGCTAGCCATTCTTGATTTAGCAGTGATAGACTAGAGGAAAGGCAGCTAGTCAACACCACCCACCGCCAACTCTTGGGCTAATCTTTTACCAACGAATAGTGGGATTGGCGGTGTCATATAACGCTGAAAGGGCAAGCATGTTCGGGGATGGGAATTCGAACCCGCGACTCTCAGATTGCGAAGACCTTTATGGCAGGACCTTTATGTCAGGTACGTATATTGAAATTTTGAATAATGTCCGTTATTTTACATACCCATATGTATCTATATATCTTTATTTTCACCCTAACAGTTACGTATTTCACAGTTACTTACTAAATACCAAAATAAATGACCTATTCAATTCAGTAAAATAAACCTATAGACAAACTTCATAAATCGTACAAGACTGGATAGATTACTTTAAATTTACTCGCTTGACCTTGATGATTATCTTAGTTTGTTGATGCTGATGATATCCAAAGAAATTCATTTATGCTTGACTGTTCAAACAATTTCAGTATCTGTAAATGTGATGCCATCTTGCAAGTTAAACACCACATTTTGTTTCACCATGCTGTAAGGGGTGTTGCAAAATAAATCACACTTTTTCCCCCGAAGTAATGACGAACTTGGAAGGACCGCGAATATCATCACTCCTGAGAAAACGTCATTTCAACGTACTCTTGAGTGACTCTTCGAATTTCATTGTTTTTTGTTTTTTTTTGCGAAAACTTTTGAATCATGGTGCTCACTAGAACTCAGGTTCGTGGCGCATGTGCTGCCTTCGGGATGGCTCAGAAACTAGTCGCAGACATGCTCCGAGAATTCAAGTCTTACAATCGAAACATCGCAATGCCAGATTTGAAAAATCCAATTAATGCCTCAAAAGTTTCAAAATTGTTAAATTTAAAAGAGTGGTCCGTGAAAAAGTGGTGGAATGTGGATTGGGAACTCTCCGGATTTAAATCCCGCCGAAAATGTCGGAGCTTTCGTTCAACAATGCACAGAGAAATGTTGGAAATTTTGCCTGAATGCGAGAGACACAAACGTGAAACCTTGATTCATGTTCTCACTGATGTGCTCACAGAGACAGCCACAAAAACAGACACGTTTGTTGCATTGCTTAAATATTTTGCAAATCGATTAAAACTCGTGCGTGAGAACAATGGTGGCCTAATCAAGTGATATTGATACTTGGAATTACTTTTTTGATTGAATTAAAATCTTATTTTACTTTGTTATGCTCCCGGGGGAAAAGTCTGCTTTATTTTGCAACACCCCTTAGCCTACAAGATGCTCACTACGAATGGGTTTAAAAGGTCAAGTCTGGCAAAACGTCAGTGATACTCAAGCTGTAATAAGGTTAACCTGAAATATGAAAAATTGTGCACTAGGGGTTAGGGGGGGGGGGTTTCTCTCTTAGCCAGAACGAGTGAGATAAAAATTAAATACAAAAATAATGTAAAAGTACATGAGAATTATAAATTGTGTAGGTGTTAACCTGCCTTCTGTGTTGATTTTGTCGCATGAGAATTATAAATTGTGTAGGTGTTAACCTGCCTTCTGTGTTGATTAGCAAATATTCTTATTTCACGGAAATTCTGAAATAATCAAACAGTTGGGACTAGTTGCTTGGATCGATTAGCAACATTTAAGAATGAATGTTCTGATGGGGGAGTAGTCCACCCATTCTAAGTTTTTGAAAAATTGAGGTAGCCGAGAGGCAATTGCTTTATATTTCAGTCTTACTTTCCAATCTATTAACGTCTTCATTTTAAAAACTAATGAATTACATAGTAGAATAAATGCCAAATACTAAACTCTTGTCATTGGTTGTAAAAATGAATAAATAAATAAGGTCACGGACGTTAAGCTACGGGCGGGTAAAAATGAAAACAAATGTTTTTTTTTTTTAGTTTTTCATAGATGAGTCACATCCCTTCAAAGTTTGAGTAGAAACTGACTTACACTTGTTTATTGCTTTACCATAAGTTTCATTGTTACTGTAAGCGAAAAGGTTTAATTAACAAACAAACTGCAATACCCTGTTCATTTATCGATGGTTGAAGACTATTAATCAGTAGACTTATCTTTATGCGCAATTACTGTTTATTATTTGCTTTGATGAGAATTTTAAATTGCTCTCTGTTTGTGTTGTTAATGTTATAAACTAAATGACTAAATAACTTGTTTACCTGAAGATGGTCTAAACCATAATCCGAAAGCTCGATTACCTGTATTTTAAAGTTTACAAATCGTTTATGCGACCTCACTTCCTTAGCACTTGGTAAAATTTAAATTAAAGTGCAGTATTACGCGATAAACGTTTCATTTACCACTGGTGTTTCTTTTCTCTTTTTTTTTCTATGCCATATGGTGAATTGTAACGTTTACAGCGTTATTTCTGCCTTCTCTTTTGAGAGTAGAAAGAATCGGGTGCTAGAGTACCAGAGAGCTTTAGCGAAGAGATGCTTGTTGAGGTTGTGTTGTATTAGTGAGTGTGGAAGTATGGATCGAATTGTGGCTGCCATGGAGAGGAAATATGCTACTTTCACGTAGAAGATGCACTGGATTTATATCGCACTTTTTTTTCTTTGTTATGGTGCTCCATGTCGTGTCTTCGCTGTCTCAAGACGCAAACGAGGTAGGGTCATTTTTTTTTTCTGGAGGAACAAGAAATTATTAGGCCTAACGATATTAATCGGACTAACTTGTTAGGTTTACCTCCAAGTTTAGGCCTACGTTGTACTTATAGTTAAGCCTGGTCAAAGATGACACCTCTCCTTTTAAAATTATTGCTTTTGTATAAAACTAATGATTGTTAAACCATTGCTCACGAAACATTGGTAGTTATTTATGAGACTCGACACTAATACTAACTTATGAAATTATTAATATTTACATGTATGATGCGATTGCTGTTTAATTTTAATTTTATTCAATTGCACACTTCGTTTATAGTATACTCAAGAAGGTAAGTTCTGACAGTAGTCTAACAAGTCTGTAGCAGGAGTGCTTAGAAATTAGAATAAGCTGATTTACAAGAATTGAAAAAAAGCGCTGTTTTTATTATTTTTATTTAGACTTACACCAATCTTGTGTGTATTGCCCATTAAAAAATTAAGATGTCCAACTGTATGACTATCAGTATCATATACTAATTCTAAGACTTGAATTTTAAAATTGCTCAGCTGCTTCAACAGTAAATTTTTTTACAAGAAAGCACTATCTGCAAAAAGATACACTTTTATAGAACAGGTGGATTCAAACAAAATGGTCACTGAATTGTAAAAATATAGAAATAACTGTTTCTAATAGTAACATGACTAAACACTGAAAATGATTGTACATTGGTAAGACTTCCATATAGATAACACAATGCTACATTTTACTAGTTCTTAAGTGGTTGGTAGTTATTTCCATCACTAATTGGGCTTTGTTTTCCACCTCTCTTCAAATAACATCCCTCATGATGTCATATTTTTTATTTTCATCTGAAACTTGTTGATCAAAATGTTGTGCTTTGTTGTTGTAATGTGTATATTTTATTATTTAGTTTTTATTATTTGTTTCTGTGTTTTGTTTTTACTTTTTTGTTTGGATTTTCATGTTTGCTCTTTGTATGTGTAGATTATTATTTTTTGGTTATTTTAGAATTATTTTTATGAATTAGTTTTTATGCATTTTTAAAATTTTCATAATGCTAGATTTTGAGTATTTAGTACTTTCATTTGTGTTTGTGATTTATTATTTGTGTTTTCAATATGTTAGATTTTTATTATTTCCTTTATTGGTTTTAGTGTAACAGTGGTGTATGAGACATAGTTTAGTTATTATGTTTTAGTAATGGAAAGCCATGGATAATGTATTTGATTTTTATCAAATAACTGCTTATAACAAGGATGGATAGAATATTTAAATATTTTTATTCTTTGCTAGTTTTCAGTTTATGTTCTATATCTATTTCCATTGCTTTCTTATAGTTGTATTGTAAATGTTTGTGTGACATTTTTTTTGTTCCTGTTATTTGGCTTATCAAAGAAAAATATTTTAGCATTGAACAACATGAAACCATTTGTTTCTTAAAGGTTGTCCCTTAACATCCTTCACCAAGAAAAGAAACAATTAAATCTACAATTTATTTTTCACAAAATCATAAATTCCCCTTATCACCTTTGTAAGGTGCTGGCCTCCACTGTTGATGACAGCAACTCATTTTATAAACTTTAGAAAAATAAAAGTATCATAACTGGAGCCCAAAATGTAAATATTATATTCAGGGTTCAACTTAAAGAAAGTAGGTGCCATTATGTTATCAATCCCCAGAGTTATCCTATTAGCTTTCCTTTGAACCTTTTTCAATAAGTCAGTACCCCTTTCTCAGACAGGGAAACCAAAACTGCATGTAGTATTCTAAGTGAAGCATAACTAGTGATTTATATAGAAGGATATCTATTATATATATATATATATATTAAAATTCTTTTAGCTTTACTACTAGCAACAAAGCACTGTCTCAATGCCTTGAATGATTATATACCATTATGCCATACCAAGATCTCTTTTTCGGTTATGCTGTTGAGTGGTTTCCCATCTGTAATAAAATTGGGATGCAAATTTTGTTCACATTTTGATAAACCAAATGTATTGTCTTGAGCATGCTCTAACTGAAGATCAATTGCCAACTGATCCAAGCTAGTTTGTAGTATATCAACATGCTCAGTACAGATAGAAAAACCCAAGAGTTTAATGTTATCCACAAATTTTACTTACATACTAATTATCCCCCTTTCAATGTCAGTCATGTAAATATGGAAAAGTAAAGGCTAAAGCATTGACCCCTGATGTATGACACTAGTAGTAAAGGTCCAATTTAAATGGACTTCATCAAGAACAATTTTTTGGTTTCTCTCACCCAGTCATGCTTTAGTCTAGTTAAGTAGTCTTTCACTAACTCCAACCAATGTGATTTAATTACTACTCTATGTGCTACTTTATTAGGAACCTCTGTAAAATCTTAAGTGTCAGTGCTGTATGTTGTAAAGACTCCTATTAAAAAAAAAAAAGCACCTTACAATATTTTGTAAGGGTATAGCTGGAGGTCTTCCAAGTAAAATTTAGGCAAACATTTTTGTATTTCTGAATATCCTCAGTATTGTTTTGTCTGTCATATCAAATGAAGAGGTGAGGGATGGCAGGTCTTAGCTTCTGGTGTTTGTCACTATGATCTTGACATAAAAATATTGATGTATCATCTGTCAATCATGTGTAAACTATTTCTGTATGTCTGTTGATTAGACAGTACTTAACTTAGAATGAAGAAATTTGGGTACATTAGCAGCTCTATTTAGTTACTATTTTTGGAAAGAATTTTATCAGACATTCTGAAGATATTTTACATTAGTATGTGCTTCTTAAAATTTTTTGATATGGCATATTTATATTATTATGGATTCACATATATAGAAACATTTATATGTTGATTATACATAATTTTTTTTATTGTGTATATACTTTGTTGTTGTTTTTTTTCTAATTTTTTATTTTTTGTTGTTGTTTTGCTTTTCGTATTATCAAGTATATATACTTGCACTTATAACTTTCTTTTGTTTGGTTGAAACCTTAATTTTTTGTCTTATTTTATTTTGGAAGTAATATTTTTTAAATGAAAAAGATGTAAAAGACATTTACTTGATCCAACTTATGCATTTTCTTTCTGTTGTATTTGTAGTTTTTTAGATTTTCTTTATTACTCAAACAATGACTTATTAGACAAAAAGACAATTTTCTGTAATAAATGTTAAAAATCTAAATTTCAAAAATCTTGCAACTTCCTCCCAAAAAGAAGGTGAGGTTCATAGAAAAGGAATGATCAAGAGATTCATTGTTAAGGCTAGACAGTATAGAGACTGTAAAAGTATGTTATCCTAAGATGCATGTTGAAGAATTCTTATGCTCATGTGAACTTTTTAAAGGAGATTTTGAGGATACTATTGGGCTTTAAATTATTACAATAGGAGTCTTGTGATGGATGAAAGGAACTTATCCAAGTAATTAAAATTAATACATGTTTTTTTTAATAAAACTAAAAAATTATGTATCTTTTGATTAATTTATTTAAAAGTGGAGAAGAATTTTCTTCAAATTCTATTATTATTGAAGAGAAAGCTGTTTTGGAAAAGCTTGAGAAACTTTTTGAGAATGAAGTTCCTGGCAATGACAAGATTTATTCTATAACTGTGGTCAAGTTCAGAAAAAGATGATGGGACTTTAACCATTATCTTTCAGAAACCACTGAAACTAAGGAGAAAATTACTAATGTTGATTCCCATTTTTAAAATTTGTACACAATTATGGAGTGCATAAAACATCAAGATAAAGATTTTTTTTTTTTTACTTTGCCCTGGTTTGACATAAGTAACATAGTTGGATGAATTGTGGATAATTTTCAAGATTTTGTATGTGGATTCAGAATTTTATTGCGAATTCTTGGTTGTTTTTTTCAATATCTTCTTGGAGAAGAATTTAATGAAATAATTTTTGTTAGTTTTATAAATGCGTAAAAAACAGTAAAATTACTGTTTGCCTTTTTGTTTAACTTTTAGTTAATAAATAAATAAAATAAAACTGTACACTGTAGTCAAATTAACACTACTTCATTTTTAACTTGGTATGCACATTATTTTAATTATATTGAGTAGCAGAAGACATGTAACCTTTGTGAAAATTAATTGCCCATATCATTTCATCAGTTTTGCTTGTTTCAAAACTTTTCTTCATTTTGTAGGCTACATTAGAAAGGTTTGCCAATCTCATTAAAGAGAAAAGGATAAGAAATAATGCTGTTGAATATATTTAAATACAATTTGTGCTTTATTGAATTTGATTTTTCAATAAAGAACTCTCATTACCGAAATGCTATAATTATACATTTGTATATACATAATTATATACTTTCTTCAAAATAGAACTTTGGATAAAATGAAGCTTGATGTTTTCTGAAAAGTTGGACAAGTTCATTTGTTTTTTGTAGAAGACAAAAGTAGAATTAATGTTTATATGCATTTATAATTTTTATTAATAGAATTATATACATGTATGTTTCCTTAGTGTTTACCATAAATCAATTGAAATTAGGTTGTTGTTTTTTATTGCTCTGGTCTCAAAAAATATTTTCCCATTTAGTGTCTACCTTTTGTAAACTGGAGGAAGTTGCCATTTTTATTAACGTTTTTAACTGCAAGTATTTGGTATTCTAGCAGCTTTAATTTTTTTTTTATTAGCAAGTGTAAATAACTTGTGAATGTCACCAAATCTGAAACACAGACATTTCAAATACTTGATATGATATCTATGACACCTTTTGAATTACAATCAAAACCAGTATGTAATGTAGCTATTTCTTTGATGTTACACATGCATGTAATAGCTGAACCAATAGTCAGTGTTGATAACTATACTATAAGTAGGCCTAGTAGTGTCTATGTTATTCCACATTGTTGAAAGAAATAGTGCAATAAAAATTGCCTGAAGTATTAAAAACTAATTATAAATAGATAGTATTGACCTCATTATTTTATACATAAAACTTATTTATGGTCTATATGTAATATGTCTAATGTGTTCAAAAAGATGTAACATCACTTACCTTTGACCAATTATATGTCAAGACGGTAACTTCTGTAAAATAAACAAACATGCAGGAAAACACATTAAGTTAATATATTACCTTTCTGTGGTTTACAAATAACAGAATCTATAAATAAATGACAGCAAAAACTCCCATACAGCCTACAGATGCATCCTGTTCACTTGAAGCATTATAACAACTGTTAAATTTTTGTGTACCTATGTAAAGAAACTCTAGGATAAATAGATTATGAGAAAGAAAATTATTCCAGCTTTTATATGATATATTTATAAAATTCAACAACTTAAGAAAATTACAACAAAAAATATGCAGATTGTTAAATGTTACATTTCTTGACATCACCAACTTCAAAATGTACATTGGAGAAACGGAAAGAAGACTTGCGACAAGAATAAAGGAACATAAAGACAGCACAAGACTAATGAAAACAAAAAATTCAGCCATTGCAGAACACGCCATGTCAACTGGACACAACATAAACTGGGAAAAAGCCAGAATCATCGACACAGACAAATTTTGGAAGACAAGAAAAATTAAAGAATCGTTTTTACATTAACACAATAAAACCTTCACTAAACAGAGATTCAGGATTAGAGGTGAGTAAACTGTAACTACCATTGGTTGAGGCTACTGGAAGTCTCTCCTCCAATCAGAAATGTGTTTTAACCAACCAATCATAACACGCTTTCCACAATCTACTAGAACACTATAAAGACCAAACTACACCACACACATGCTGACCTGAAGACTTTTGATATGTCGTCCTCTACATTTGTAGGTTTCTACAACAGGCAGTTGCTGTCCATTTGAAACTTAGGTTCATTATGAATAGTCTGCCTAAACAACCTATCAAAAATTGCATTAGTTACTTGCTTTCTGGCAAGTAAGAGTACTGTTTGATTCAGATCTGTACAATGTTAATACTACCCTTCAGCTCTGTGCATTTCTCAGTAACAGGAATAGGTTTTCTTCCATATAAATCCTGAATTACTTGTAACTTTTTAACAGTCTTATTGGTAGAGAACCTTTTTATAGAGCATCCTCCATCATTTTTAATATTTGTAGTCATTGTTGAATTTTTGTTTTATAAGATTTTATTGGTTGTTGCACGTTTTAATTTATTAGTGTTTTGACTAACTTTTTTTATTATTACTAACCTTTCTACAGACATAGATGAAGCATTAGGCCATGAAGAGGACAATAAACGTAGGGGTGAGTTGCAGAGATGACTTTAAAAATTGTTTGTTAGAGTAGCTGAACATTTTTATTGATGAAGTATGAATTTTAAAATGTATGAACATTTACTTATAAATAAGGATTAATGAATGCATTTTTTAATGAATTAGATGCAAAAATGCAGCTAGTAAAACTGACAGTTATATTTTCAAATTGTTTGGTGTTTTGTTTATTTGACATACGTTTATAAAGTAAATTGTATTTATTAGTTTACTTTTTTTGTTTTTAATTTTTGATGGAAACGTCACTCCTATAAATTTGGTAATGTTACCAAGACCACTGTCATGATTTAGGGCTAAAGCAACTGTCTAATTCCTTTATTGAGCCTATAAGAATCTGTAGTGGGAGCTGTTGACTACCTTCCTTTCCCTCTTGTCTGTCAGTTCAAATTTAGGGGTGGTTATGAACAACCCTCCTCCTTCACATAAGAAGAAACTCAAATCTTACTTTAAGAAAATTATCTGTATTAATAGTTACTGGTATAATTTAAAATAATTTGTATAGCTTGTGCTATTATTTATACATATCAAATATTGATATTGTCTTAAGTACTTGTAAGTCTGTGTTCAGTATTTAATGACGTATTACATCCAAGACTTGCACATTACTCAAGTATTGTGTACTTGTAATTGTTACATCAGCCTGGAAACTGCTCTTCAGCTGGTCTGCATTTTGCATTTTAGGAATGCATCTCACAAAATTTCTTATATTTTATTAAAATTAAGTGTCTCTAAAATATAGATTTCTATTAGAATGCAGTCTGATGATAAGTAGAATTGTCAGATGTCTACCTTTCCAATGGGTAAAGTAATAAGAAGACACAATCTAAAGCTTAAATCTCATTTTTCTGGCCATGAACAATATAAATTGAACAATCATCATTGAGCTGTAAATAACAGATCATTGACACTCCTGCCTGTGTAGCATGAAATATAGGAATGGGCTCTATTTTGAGAGGAAAAGTTATTACCTAATATTTATGTATATAACAGGACACATTGATACAAATACACTAAATGTTTATGGGTGCCAGCATTTTTCCATTCTTTAAATTTTTCTGATATGGGCTTACAGAGATGGTAATAATGTTATGTGAATCTTTTTTTTTTTTTTTTTGTAAATATGTACTTATATGTATTATATATATTTGTAAACATTTTCTGTCTGATATGTGTCTACAGAGATGATAATGTTATGTGAACCTCTTTTCTGTAATATATACACCTATAAATATCATATATAAGCATATAAACACTTTCATGAGAATTACTGTTTTGTGTTTTATTAAGTCATTCTCATTCATTCTATGAAAATGTAAGTTTAAATAACAGAAAATGTAGTAATTGTATTTTGAGTGTAAAGGTAATCCCTTTTCCCAATATTTATTAATCATTTGTTTTTCACCAAAAGCTACCCATTTCTTTTATAATTTGTAAATGTTAAACATGTGAACTTGATTGACTTTGGTAACTAAAAGGTTCAGTGTCAATATTGTTAAACAGATAAGTATCGCTACTCTTGTTTAATACCAACAAAAACATGAAAAGATGTACAAGGAATGTTCTTGTATTAATTAAGAATATACTTTTGCAATATGTGGTCTGTACTTGGTTTTAAGCCAGATTTGTTTTTATTATCATACCATCCAATATATTTATTAATATTCATCATGCTATTGGTCCATCTGAAATTAGCCTCACACCTGGCATCAGTATACTTCAACTTAGGTTCTTGAAATTTAATTTAAAATATTTCTGTTTGTTCTTAAAAGATTTTGGAAAAGTTCTTCAAATTCTTGATTGTTTTGATAATTATATAAACCATAACATACACCGTGTGATAGAGAATCATAGTAGGCTAATTCCAAAGTTATTAAATATGAGGTTAATTAATAAACTATCAGGGATCATGTTCAAGAAAGTGAGCTATAGTAAGACATAAGCAGTTAAGATACTGCCATTGTTTAGGCTTTAGTGTTGAGTAAATAATGTTTCTGTTTTGGAATGCAAGTTTTGCCAAAAGAAAACTAAAAGTAATTGGAATTTGAATTCTGACATTTTGTGGTTTCTTCAACCACCGATTTGTATTTCAGTGAATTGTAAAGATAAGTCTCTGAATCAGTGTATTAGAAAAACATCAAGGAAAAATGTTTCTGTTAGAGATTATGAAGTTTGCTTCCTAATTATGAATGCAAAAAGATGAAAATGAGCTATTTTTCTATGAATTTTTAAATTATTATTAGAATACACTTTAGGTTTATAATTTTTACAAAAAAGCATTACCGTGTCTCTACACCGACTAAGTGAATTGTACTGAAATATTGCCATTGGAGAAGTGCATAACAGGTGAGAAAGAAGCTGTTCATTGATGTGGAGTTTATTATCTCACATAATTTGTCAACAGTTGAGAAATTCAACAGAAGTTGTACATTTAAAAATTTACTTCATTTTGAGTCTCACTATTAAGATAACTTTGTTTTCTCATGAGACAGTTTTCTGTTGATATCCACATATGTACATGTTAGGTTACATCATACAGTTTACCATATTAAGTAACTTAGAAAAGGATTATTACTGGACAAAGAATGGAGTCTGAGAGCCTGGATGTATGGAATCTTTGGGAGGGGGTGTATATTGTTTTATATTTATATGATATCCATGTTTCTCAACCTTGTTTCAAAGAAACTGGATGTTTATATAGTAAATCTAACATGATTAAGATGGGTATCCCCATTAGTTAACAGTCACCAAACTCAACCAAGCCAAAGTTTTTTTTAGATAATTAAAGGTTCAAAAGAATTCTTAGAATTTAATCTGTATAAAACAAGACTAGGAAGAGCTTTTTACTTGAAAAATTATATTGTACAGAATAAAAACTGACAATTTTAATAAGATATCTGTTTTAGATATTAAATGACTAGTATGTTATCTATACGCCCTCATTATTAGTGAAAGTGATTTTAGAAACCACACATTACAAAATCTTCATATCCAAGGCTTTTGCTTACATTTATGTAGTTGTACTTGAATACACTCAAAAGTCTGTGAAGGTTTATGGTTGAAGACTCCTCAACCACATGAAGCGGTGTATAATTTATAACCATTAATAAAACAGAACGTTACAAGGTACATGTAAATCCAGTTCATCCATAAAGAATGATGGTGTACCTTCCCAATGGACTTAGATTATTTTATTGTACTTTGTTTCAGGTTTTTTATAATCTAATAAACAAGTACTGTTATCATTTTCTAGAGGAAGTTAGTCGGCTTAAGCGCCAGTATCCAGAGAATGAAAAGCTTCTAAATAGCATACCTAGTCGTTTTTATAATGTCATCTATCCTTATCAACTTCGTCATCAAAGAAAAATGGGGATTTCTACCAGAGATGTGAATAAGGTAAACATTTGCTTCTAAAAAATAGATATTTTTCTATTTCAAGAGTAGGATGCATTATAGGTTATATTAACTTTGGAAGGTCACTTGTTTGTTTAACTGTAATAAGGATATCCTTCAATGTCTACCTGGATTTAAATACAGCAGTCCTTCTTAGATATGACTGACCTCTCTGCCATGATAAAAAAGTTGCATCTGACAGGAAGTCTTTATTCAAAGGATCAGTAACCAGATAACAAATGACAGAGTTCAAGCTGTGCCAGTTGCAATTCCCAGGGGTTGAGCATAATGGTTTATATACTGAATAGGTAGTAATATAACATAGCAAGTTGGTATACTGTATAATAATAGTTATGATGGATAACAGTTCAATAAAGATAACTTAAAATTGTTTTATATAAAATAAATTATACATTAATCACATTTATTTCATAAACATCCATGTATCACATTTTTATTAAATACATATAAATTACCACAAACTGACACAAAATATATTTCATAAAAAATCTTCCACTCTGAATATTCACGAGTCTGGCAATTATTATTTCAAGAAGCGTTTCGTTGTTAGTTTTCAGTGCACAATTTAATATCAATTTATAAAATAATGTGCAATAAATGTCCAGAATTCTGCATCAGAGAAACTGGAAGACAATTGGAAACTAGATTCACTGAACATAATAATAAGATATCCCATATTTACCATCATTGCAACTTAAACAATCCAGAGTATATCTGTACAAAACGGCCCCACCCTAAACCAAAATTTCACCTAGAAACTTGGATTCTTTTATCCCAGTTCTAAAAAGGGACCAGTTTAAAAGAACCGGTAAAGAAATAAGAATAAATATTATTATTAAATGATTAAAAAAAAAACTATAACCCGAGTGCTTTTGAAAGGTAGATTCCCAGTTTGCCCTTGAAGAAAAATAGTCCACCCTTTGAAAGTGCTTGGGTTATAAGGTTTTTATCATTTTGTATCAAGACTTCTTGAGCATATGTATTTTTCTTACATCATGAATGAACTAAATTATTGCTAGACTAGGCAATACCTAATATAATAATCCTCTCTGAATACAAATACTACATAAAATGTAATATGTTGCATTAAAACTATTTCAAGTTTACTAAAAATTCTGTAAGTTTCATTTATATTTTGTTGCTTTCATCACAACTTTGGTCTGTATCAACATCCACATCATGTTTCTATATCAACACTTTGAGTATTCTTCTTCACAGCGACTTCCTGTTCGCAACTTTCCCGAATACCTTCTGGCATTTCATTAGCCATGCTTACCGCACAGATTATTCGAGTCTGTCAATCAACAGACCATGAGTTAATAATCTTCACACCCTGCTAGTAAATCCTAATCAAGTTATTTAATGTCTAGGCCACTAGCTCAAAATCTTTTACATTCACTAAAAGAATAAATTTTAATTCTTCAAGCGAAGACAAACAACAGTTTCTGACCATCCCTGATTACTTTTCAGGACCTGAAACTTTTTAAAGCAAAATACCTACATGTATGTACCAAGGAGTTTGACTTGAACACCACGGGGTACCAAGATGCATATATTAAGCTATGAAGCAATCTCTGTTCATGTGACCTCTTTGTTCCATACTTCATACACTGTTTTCATGTGTCTCTATAAAGTACATTATTGATATGAAGAAAAGTAATTATAGAGAGGTTGTTATTCAACCTTACACCCAAAAATCACAGTCGTATGTCACATCTGTCAGGAAGTCATTCATGGGAGGTCAGATCAATGTTAAATTATTCCGTGCACAGGAAAAAAAGTCGTATTTAAAAGGAAGTTGTTATTGTGAAAGGTCATATCCACCAGGGACTACTGTATTACTTTGACTTTAAATTTTATCAATAAAAAGGTCTCATAGATTAATTTACTCTAATCCTGCCTAAAAGAATTTCAAGTGCCACAGCTATTGAGGATTCTTTCTTGTTCTTCTTACACTTAATATTCTCATTTGGACCTGAACCCCTTTCTTTCTTCCATATTCTTTGAGTGTAATAATTATGGTGATTTATCATTTGCTTTGACCAGCTTACATTCTCTTCCTAAAATGCTCTATAAAATTTTCTTTTACCTCTTACTTTTTGTGTGTATAATTGCTAGTTTTCAAGCTATTTGCTTGGCTACCTTTTGTTCAACACCATGCCATTTTTCTTTCACTTTTGTTTTTGTCAGTAACAGTTTACTTGTTTATTTGTTTGAAATGTTGTAGTCTTCATAGTTCTGTTAATCATTTTGGCTTTATTTTTTTACCACAGTATGCATGAGATCATATAGAGACCAACAACAACAATAAAAAAAACCTTCCAAAGTCAACAAATCCCAGTCAGAACACTTTAGAAATACTTTATCACTTTCATATGCCATCATGATTTTAGAAAGCAAAAGTGGTCAAGACAAACAGAAGTTCTCTAAAAACAACATGTGAACAGAATAACTAGTATATATCTTGGCTCAATGACACCAAGATCTGACAGGTCAAGAAATTAAGACATCAGCAATAGATGCAACAAATACTACACATCCAAAGGTATACAAAAATAAGAAGCATTAACATCTTTTAGAATATTTCTAAAACTTTGTTATAAATAGAAAATGTTTTAGCTTATGAGTCAAACTCCTGTCTAATTTAATGTTATATATATACCAGGAGTAAAATGTTTAGTTTTTATCCAATATCCACCTGATTGTCCAGATGTTGTGTTTTTAGTGTTCAACCATGGCTAGAACATATTTGTTGTGGATGTGTTTCTGTATGTATCTTTAATATTTCCTTTCATATTAAAAAGGGTTTGAAACTGTAGCTTTTCAGCACTTGGACATTTTTCACTTTGGAGTAAATATAATGTTTGTACTTCTTTGAGATAATGTTAAAAATAATAATAATTTTTTTGTTACATGTAGTGTCTTCCTATTGATGGAGGTCTTCATTGAATATTATAAATATTAAAAATATCATTACAAACCAAAAGGGTTTAAATATTTAAAAAAATTAAGTAGTTTTATTCTTCAAAATGTTTTTGTCTAGAAGAGATTAAGTTGGTCATTTTTTCTTTTAAATATAGTATTACGTTTTGAATACAAAAAGTCTTTACCTAATAATGCTTTCTTCGTTTTCAGGATGGGGAACACTTTAATGAAACAGAATTCCGAATAAAAGCATTCAATTATATATTACATCTTCAATTAAAGCTCAATACGTAAGTTTTATTGATGCATCTTCATAGTTCAAACATTGTTTTTTCAGATTGCTGTACTGGGTTAACTCAAAATGTTATGTTTCTGATACAGATAGATGATGAATACATATGTTGTGTTTATAGTTGAATTTTAAATAATTTATCAAATTAACATCTCATCATAGCCTTTAAACAAGTTCTCATTCATAATCTACATTTATAAACCTCTGTTTAGTGGTGCATGGTCTTTATATTTATAAGGCGTGTTATTAACAAAACTAGGACTTCGTTAGCTAAAGATATTTAAAATATTTGCTATGCAGTTCCGAGCCAATTGGTTTCTTGTGTTGGAAAAAATAAACTGAAGTTTTTGTCATCAGTATCTGTTTAAGCCTATTTGCAATATATTGTTATTTCTACATTTGGATTCATAAAAATTATTTATGTGATACACAGATAGTTCAAACATAAAAGTATGAGAACTAATAAACACTTCTAAAGTTAAACAAGATTATTTTAATAATTTTACAAATTATAATGAGACAAAAACCATTATGTAGCATAGATATGTATACTGTGCCATTACACAATAAACAGTTAACAATTGATCTGTAAAACCACGTTTCACACACACTTATTAACAATAATACAGTCACAGGCCCAATGATATCAAGTGTTAGCTTACTTTGTCAAAATACATTTTACTGTAACATGTATATTATTCAAGCTAATATAAATAGTACTTGTCTTGCTAAAAATCATATCTGTACTCATATTTAGGACTTACGAGCAGCTGTTTAAAAGAGAGCTCCACACACACCTACACATATGATTTCAAATTACCAACAGAAATTTTTATAAAGTGAGAAACATTGGTCAAACTAATTATTTCAATGAATAAACAGACAAGCTTGGGAATAAACAAAATTGATTTATACAAGAAATACAAAACCATCAAATAGTTAGGCTATTTGAAGGCATGTAATAAAGAAAGGTTTCTGACATCATAACTAATAGTTTAGAAACTATTAGTATGATATTTGTATGGAAGAAAGAAAGAAAGCTATAGAGTAAATAGATCGCAAAAAGAAATAATCCCAGCTTTCCCACAGACAACAATATCATTTTGTTAGTTTTAAAAGCTTGGAAACCTTAAAACAAAACGTGTAGTTTAGACTAATTTAACAGTTTCAACACTACCAACTTGGACGCTATGCTATTTTGAAACTGATTTAGCTGGTAAAAAAAGCAACAAACATATACAACGACCACAGATTTATATCTATCTTTTGAATGTTTTTCAGGTTTTACCTATGCAGACAAGAGTTTTACATATTTTTAATACCAAAATATAAGAATTGTATTATCAGGGAATAAAAACCAAAAGTAAGATTAGCAGTTTGAACTTCTTTTATTACTTTATCCAACCAAAAAACTCATAAAAAATTTATATTAATCCAAAATTCTAAATCAGTACATTTCATTCATAGGTTTGTTTTATAGGTAGTTTTAGGGAGAGCTCTGGAAGAATTTCTTAACTTAATATTTATGGATATATGTATAGAGAAAAGAAGTGTATTCATTTATAGAGCTTACTAGGGATCTTTTTTATGTGTAACTGATAGAACTTAAAGATTGATATTAATGTGATACTTAGTTTTCTTCTTGTAGGAATTTATTGGCTCCAAATCTTTATCTAAAAAAAACTTTACCAGAAGGCCGTGTTTTGGTTTCCCATCAGGTAAGCTTCTTCCATTTCTTTTCTTGGTGATGAATTCATCATCTTTCTAAAACTGTTTTCATATTGTGATTAATATGGCTGGTTAAAAAAGTGTAAAGTTTCCTAGACTAGATTTGAACATGAGTATTTGATATCTCCTCTGGGTTATATATGTGCTCGTGGGGTATTTCTTGGATTCAAGCACCCTAGGAAATGACCAGTCTGTACTGGTGTGTGCCTGTGCTCTAGCGTCATTGCTCTGAATTGAGTACTTAATACTAATTACCAAGACGTTTTATACTGCATTGTATATAACCTCATGAGGCACTGCTTCAAGATATATTTTAATTTAAGGAGTTTGTACATAAGAGTGAAGATGTGTAGCTTATTCATTGTTCTGGTTTGAGCATTTCATTTAAATATGTATAGAATCTGTGCTTAGTTAGTTTAATTCTTATTGAAACCTAAATGCTAGGATTGAATATGTGGGTATGTACTGGCTTGTACAAGTAATGAATACATAATGTTTAACAGTTAAACACTGGTTTATACACTTGCACACTATTCAATGCTCTGGTTTGGACACAACCAGCAATTAACAGTATAAAAAGCAGTTTGGGAATTTTAGGGTTAAAAACATATAGTTTATACACAAGTTTTAATATTTGTGTATGATCTGTATTTGATATATAAAAATTGTAAAAAGATTTTAATGTGCAAGCTTCATTTATATTAGATACTTATGGTTCATGCACAGGTTTTGGTACTTGCATTTGATCCATATTAAATACTTACAGTCCATGCAAAATTTTAAATATATGTACTTGATATTTATTAAGTACATATACTCAATGGACAGACTTAACCCTATATCTGTGGATCTTCCTATGACCACGAGTCAAAGGCCATGTCATGGCATTTGTAGACTCACATTCAAAATTTTATTGAACTACTATTTTATGAATGTATGTCAATAAGTTTGGTATCAAAGT